GAAGCTAAGCCAAAAGGATCACAAGTTCAAGGCCAGCCTAGGCAACCTACGAGTGCTTGTCTCAAAAAACTAAACCATAAACATCAAAAAGCCTTAAGTGGAGCTGGAGAGATGGTTCAGAGGTTAAGAGCATATACTGTTCTTTCAGAAGACCTGAATTAATTCAGCTCCCATGTTGTGTGGCTCATCACTGCCTGTGCCTCCAGCTCCAGGGGATTCGATTTTCTGACCTTCATGGGGACCTAAACCCATGCATTCATACACACACTATGCACATGCATGCATGTACACACACACATAAATTTTTTAAAGTCTTTAAGTTATACAAAGTATATTCCTTAAATAAAATTAAACTTAACAACAAATCAGTAACAAAGAGCTATGTCACCTAAAGAAAGCTCCAAAGCCTGGGGGTGATGACACAGGTTTGTTATCCCAGTACATGTGAGGCTGAGGCGGGTGAGGGGTGGCTTTAAGTCCAAGACTAGCCTTGGCTGCATAATATGACCCTGTCTCAAAAAAACCACAACATATATTTAAAAAAAAAATTTAACTTGAAATGCTTCCAAAACAACACATTTAGAAACAAACCAAAAATCAGCAATAACTGAAAGGGCATTAGTAAATACTTTGAGGGCAGGAGAGATGACTCAGAGCTTAGAGCACTGGCTGCTCTTCCAGGTCTTGAGTTCAATTCCCAGGAACCACATGGTGGCTCATAACCTTCTATATTGAGTTCGGGTGCCCTCTTCTGGCGTGCAGGAATATATGCAGGCAGAACATTATATACATAATAAATAAATAAATCTTTAAAAAATACTTTGAACCAAATGTGCCACGTTTTCTTTATCCATTCTTCGGCTGTTTCCAGGTTCTGGCTATGACAAACAATACTGCTATGAACAAAGCTGAGCACATGTTCTTCTGGTATGATTGAGCATCCTTTGGGTAGATACCCCAAAGTGGTATTGCTGGGTCTTGAGGTAGGTTGTTTCCTAATTTTCTGACACAATGGAGTACTACACAGTGGTAAAAAATAACGAAATTTGCAGGCAAATTGATGGATCTAGAAAGCACCATATTGAGTGAGGTAATCTAGACCCAAAAAGAAAAATATAATATGTACTCACGCATAAGTGGCTCTTAGACATAAAGCAAAGAAAAACCAGCCTACAATGCACAACCCCAGAGAACCTAGATAACAAAGGGGACCCTAAGAGAGACATACATGGGTCTAAGCTACATGAGAAGAAGAAAAAGACAAGATCTCCTGAGTAAATTGACAGCGTGGGGACCATGGGAGAGGGTAGAAGGGAAGGGGAAGAAAGGGAGGGGAGGGGAGAAGAATATATAGCTCAATAAAAACAATAAAAAATAATTTAAACTGACCATGAAAACAGAACTTATTGATGTTAATGAAAGAAGTCAATGCCATGCTTACAGGCAAATTTGTAGCTTTCCTGTTTATTTCAGGAAAGAAGAAAGTTACAATCATTGAGCTGATATTCCACTGTAAGAGCCTGGGAAAACAACTAACTTAACAAGTAGAAGAAAGGAAACAGAAAGGAAGGGAGGAAGGGAAGAAGGGAGGGAGGGAGGGGAATTTAATGTGTTAGAACAAAAGCAAAAAAAATTTTTGAAGCAGTTTCTCTGTGTAGTTCTGGCTGTCCTGGAACGTGTTCTGTAAACCAGATGGCCTTGAACTCACAGAAATTCACCTGCTTCTGCCTCCCAAGTGCTGAGATTAAAAGCGTGTGCCACCATCACCTGGCTTAGAAAATCAATTTTTAAAAGCTGGTTATAAGCTTGGCCTGGTGGTTTAGGTCTGCAACCCCAGTTCTTCTGGAGACTAAGGAGGAAGGTCCTGAGTTCAAGGCCTGTCTGACCTACAGCAATTTCAACAGCAGCCTACACAACTTAGTGAGACTTCGTCTCAAAACAAAAGAAAACGAAACAAAATGCTGGTTATCTGCAAAGGTAAACAAAACTGGCAATCTTTTGTCAAAACAAAAACAATCTTTGTCAAAACAAAATAGGTACAAATCCCTAATATGAGAAATGAAAGAAAAGAGTTGGGGGACTTCCAACATTAGTAGGCTAAAAATAGTAGTAATAACTTTAACCAAACACATCTGACAACTTTGATAAAAAGGATGAATTTACTAAAAGTCACCACTTTGTCAAAGTTAGTATTTCATGGTCATAGTGAATGTGGACAGCCTGGGTGCTTAGTTCTCTTTATGCCCAGTAACCACGAAACTCTTATTCTTAGAGGTTTTTGTCACATTCAGGACACAGTACAGAATTGGGGACAGCACTGTGCTCCTCGTTGAAAACAGAATAGTTTATATCCATTAAAGTTCTTGAGTTCATAATTTAAGACCTTTCTACAAAGAAAACACCCCAGTTTGATAGTGTGCTTGGTGAGGTCTTTCCTGCATTTATGGGTAAAGTGAACTGAATGTTGGTTACATTCAGAGCACCGTGGAGGGACAGTCTGCAGAGCATCCTCTAAGGCAGACCAGCGTCACACATGAACGTGGACATGGAAATCTTCCCTCAAACCGGGCGGTGGTGGCGCACGCCTTTAATCCCAGCACTCGGGAGGCAGAGGCAGGCGGATCTCTGTGAGTTCGAGACCAGCCTGGTCTACAAGAGCTAGTTCCAGGACAGGCTCCAAAGCCACAGAGAAACCCTGTCTTGAAAAACAAAACAACAAAAAAAAATTAAAAAATTAAAAATTGAAATCTTCCCTCAAACCCCAGCGAATGAAACACAGCAATATGTAAACCGACGGATCTCACGCCATCAACCAGTACCCTAGAAGTGTGATCTGTCAGCGGAATTCGTCACTGGAAAAATATGAACAGGGAAAAAATGAAATTTATATAATCCTCTCAATAAATGCAGAAAATTTGACAAAACCTCCTACTCCTGAAAGATAAAGCCCTTAGCAATCTAGGACTCAAAGAATGGGCCCGTGTGTGATAAAGGACATCCACAGATAACTGACAGGAAACCTCACGAGAGAGAGGGGGGCTAAAAATTTTCCTCTGTCCTCAGAAACAGAGTGGCCCCTGTCATTGCTATAGAATGGCACTGGACAGCAGAATGGGCACAGAGCACAAGGTGTGTGTGTGGGGACACTGAAAAGGAATAATGGTATTGTCACCTTGGGTTGAGAAGGAATAACGAATGGTATTGTCACCTTGGGTTGAGAAGGAATAACGAACTGTATTGTCATCTTGGGTTGAAATGCGCACATAGAAGCCATAGTATTTATCAGGGGAAAAAAATGCAGAAACTTAAAACTAACAGGTGGATTAGAAAATTATAGGGCACTCTATTAACAGACTGAAACAACTTATCTCTATACAGTAATAAACAATTAGGAGCTAAAAACTACAGTACCATTTGTGAAATATTAAGAGATAAATGTGAAGCCTGTGTTCTCAAAGCTATAAGATATTGCCAAGAGAAATTCAGACAACCCTGGATCGCTAAGAGAGGAAGATCCTCTTCTCCTTAGACTAACCTAGGGGACTGACCCAACGAAGTACCAGACAACACATCTCACTGGGCTCCTGGCTGCACTGGATCATTAGACTCTATGGCCTCCTATTCAAACACCCAAATGGATACAAAGTCTTCTAGATGGAGGTCTGCAAGATTTCAGCCAACGAGGACTCACACAGTCTTATGGGCACTCCCTATTGCCCATGTAGTTAAGATTCAAGTCCTGGAGTCCCATAAGGCCTTTGCCTGCCCTTCCAGTCCAATCTAGGTGCTGTTCTCCCAAGAGCTTTCCCCACGCTGCCGGGCCATCCCTGAGGGTGCCTAGCCTCTGCTCTGCCCCCAACTGATCCACTGTCATAATACTCTATGTTCATCTGTCATCTCGCTGTCTAGATGCCAAGGCTGTCCGTGTGTAGATGGTCCTCCCTAAAAAAAATCACGGGCTTCAAGGTGGGGGTGCTGGACATCTCGGCCACATCTAAGACACTGGGACATCTAAGACAGTGTGCCTGCCACCCAACATATACACTCTGGTGTCTTAGGATGAAGTGAGGTTGGGAGAGGAAGATGTGGTGGAAAGTGAATAGCCCTCCTGCTCAGCATCCCTGCTGGGGCTGGAGGATGAGGGACAAGCCCAGCTCAATTATGATGCAGTTATAGGTACAAATGCCAGTGTCCTGACACGACACCTACCCAGACCCTGGGCACCCACAGAGCACAACGCTGGTCCCTGGCCCAAATGCCCCCGAAGCTATGTACACCTTCCTGGTAGGTGAACTCCAAGGATCCCAGGAGCTGAAAGTTAAGACTAGCCTAAGCTCTGGTCTGGGTAGGGAGACTGCACACATCCTTGACTGAGCCTCACACCTGTATCTCCCGAGATGCAGGGAAACAGGCCATGTGGCTCCAGGCCAGACCTGAGACAACAGGTGTGTGGGTGCTGTCTCTCAGAGGACAAAAGAGCAATGGCCAGGGGGTTCAGCACCAGGTAGAGGACTCAAAGCTCTGCAGATGTGGTCTAAGCACCATGGGGGACAGGTAGAAAGTGCTCTCAGCCAACAAAGCCGGTCGGCCTGCCTGGGCAGAGCAGAAAATCACCCTCTGCCAGCACAGCTCCACCCAGAGCTTTGTGGTGGGTCTGGAGGCTGCAGTGGGTTTCCAAGAACAAAATGATTCTTCCATTAACTTCACAGGGAGGCAAACCTGTCTGAACATCTGGCAAATATCAGAGGACCAAAAGACAGGAAAAACCAAGAGAGGCATACCTGGGAAGCTATGTAGGTTAGTAAGGCATGCTTATGAATGGAAGAGAGGGAGGGAGGGGAGAGGGAGAGGGGTCACGAGAGTACAGTGACAGAGCATGGGATCTGTGGCTGGCTTATATAATGCCCAAGGCTCTCACCAGCTTACCCCAACCCTCTTAGCCTCCTATCCCAAGCTGCTCCTCCAAGACCCCCTGCCTCAGGACAGGACTCCATACTCACCCTAGAGGCTCTGGACCCTCAAGGTTGACTGAGCCTGGGAGGAAGGAGGGTTGAAAACAGGAGACGGACAGCCAGCACACAGCTCCAGGAGGTGTTCCCACACTACTCTGGAGCAGGAAGTACTGGGAAGGAGCTAGAGTGGTCAAAGTCTCCCAGGAGGAGACATTCTCGCACAGACACACCCAACCCGCCCTTCTGGATGGGCCAGAACTACCCCTCATCCTTTGGTGGCAGCTGCCACCAATGATCTAGTCTGCTCAGCAGGCACCGTGTGGCCCCGGACACCATGGAAGGCAAACAGGCCCTGCTGAGACGCCCCAGCTCTTCCCAGAAACATGCTGCTCCCACCAGGGTGGCTTCACATATCAGCCGGCTTATAAACAACAGAAATGCATCTAATTTTTCTGGAGGCTGCAAGTCCAAATGCAAAGCCACAGGGATCCAGGGGCTGGTTCACGGCTGGTCATCTAGCTGCAGCCTCCTATGGTGGAGCGGTAAAGAGGTTCTCTAAGGTCCCTTTTATAAGGTCACTGTATTAGCTACTTTTCTCATTGCCATGATGGAATATGATTTTGGCTCGTGGTGGGCAACGTAACGATGCCAATGTATGACAATGAGGCAGCTTGTCACACGGTATCTGCAGTCGGGAAACAGGGACAGATTCTGATAGTGGGCTTTTGTTCATCTGGGTCCCCAGCCCACGGGATGGCATGCCCACATTCATGCTGGGCCTGCTCACTTCAGTTAATCTTCTGAAAACAGACATGCTCACGGTGCTCCTGGGCGATTCTAAACCCTGTCAGGCTGACAAGATCCTGCCAAGCCCTCAAGCCTGCTCCCACCCTGGTTAAGGCAGTCCTGCAGGCCAGGCCACCACAGGGCTTGGCATACTCAGGCTGGTGGGATCTGGCTCTAACCAACCACCACAAACATTAGTGCCCCTCATGCAGTCTCCACTTGTATCCCAGCCAACTTCCCAAGGTGCCAACTTGGGGGTGGGGGGGGCAGGCTTTTAGACCCCAGTGGTGACCCCATGGCCTTGGGGTGCCATTTCCCACCTGCCCTTTAACAGTAGCCTATGTTCACCCTTCCAAACCAGGGCTACCCTGAGAAATAACATCCTGGTGGCTGCTCGCTTAGCCCCTGCCTGAGCTAGACACCTGGAACTCCTCAGATCATGGAAGGTAGGCTGGCAGGATCTAGCTGAAATGGTCCCATGATCCTGAAGAGCAGGCCACAGTTTCAGTGCGCCTCCTGGAGGTCATGAGAGTGAACCACACTGAGGAGCAGCAGCCTGTTCCGTGGGAGTCCTCAGGCCTCCCTCAGGAGTCATGGAAGACTGGCCGGTGGTGACGCTGGTGAGAGGCACAGTAGCCGTCGAACAGTGGACAAGGGTGTGGGGATCCAGATGCCTCCAACCCCTAAGAGATCTTTGATAGCTCTTGGAGGTGGGAAAAGTCCACTGGGTGGAGGCTCAGATATGTTCCTTGGGGCATCCTGAGGGGACAGGCGCTCCAGGGGCCTTTCCTGTAAACTGTCACTAGAGGGCTTCCCTCAAGAGTCATCCTCAGATGTCCCTGGAACTACCAAAACAGACACTGTTGAGAGGGGAAGGGACAGCAAATAATAACCATGCTAGCTCAGGGAGCAGTTGGAGGGGAACCCCTGGGAAGGCCCGCTGTGGCAATACAGGTCTTTAGGGTGGATCTTACATTTGAGGCAGCCTTGCCCAGGTGACAGAGCTGGCTGGAACCCCAAGGTCAAGCATTTCAGCCCCATGAGGAACATTCAGTCAGGCCTTCATCCTTCTAAAGACCTTAAATTTGAGACTGGGGCTGCCCAAGTGTCTCAAAGAGAGTTCTGTTTCTACCCAAACGAGCTGCCCTAATCCCATTCTGCTGTGTACTTCTCAAAAAAAAAAAAAAGTGACAATTTAGGCTGTGGAACTGGATTACCCGTTACCCACAAAGAGCAAGGGTTCATAATAGATAATGAGGAGACAGCAGGGCCTAACCAGAGTGATTGTCCTATCTAATCCAATTGCTATTTTCTGCTGCTGAATAACGTGTACATGAAGAGGGGAGTGTCTAGTGACACTCCTAGAACAGCACATTGTCTAGGTGACGCTGAATAAGGTGAGCATGGACGGGGATGAGATGGACTCAGCACACTGTCTAGGTGACGTTGAATAAGGTGAGCATGGACGGGGATGTGATGGACTCAGCACACTGTACAGGTGCCGCTGAATAAGGTGAGCATGGACGGGGATGAGATGGACTCAGCACACTGTCTAGGTTGAATAAGGTGAGCATGGACGGGGATGAGATGGACTCAGCACACTGTCTAGGTGACGTTGAATAAGGTGAGCATGGATGGGGATGAGATGGACTCAGCACACTGTCTAGGTTGAATAAGGTGAGCATGGACGGGGATGAGATGGACTCAGCACACTGTCTAGGTTGAATAAGGTGAGCATGGACAGGGATGAGATGGACTCAGCACACTGTCTAGGTTGAATAAGGTGAGCATGGATGGGGATGAGATGGACTCAGCACACTGTCTAGGTTGAATAAGGTGAGCATGGATGGGGATGTGATGGACTCAGCACACTGTCTAGATTGAATAAGGTGAGCATGGACGGGGATGAGATGGACTCAGCACACTGTCTAGGTGACGTTGAATAAGGTGAGCATGGACGGGGATGAAATGGACTCAGCACACTGTCTAGGTTGAATAAGGTGAGCATGGACGGGGATGAGATGGATTCAGCACACTGTCTAGGTGCAGACTAAAGAGGGGTTCCTGGGACGACACGGATGGCTGTGGAGGGAGCAGTTGTTGGCGGCTGCTGTCCAGCTTTATCGAAGCCCTCAAGTGTTACTTTTAAAGGAAAGACCAGGTCTTTTGCTGCCAAGCCCTCGGGCCTACTCCCACCCTAGTTAAGCTAGTCCTGCAGGCCAGGTGATTGTGGAAATAGCAAGGACGGTGGGATCCAATTCTAAAGAAGACAAGTGAGGTGAAAGACCTTGTCAATAAGAGTGGCACCGAAAATAGCTGCCTGAGGAAGTTATGGTTTATCAACAGGGGCGATGTAGAGGGCCACAAGTCAGACATTTGACCAAGCAAATCAATTAAGGATGAAGAAGGAAGCACCTCGATACAGTCCAAAGACCTGGCCCACAAGAGGACACTTGTTGTCCACATCAATATGATCAGAAGTCCCCCCACCAACAGAAATTCTGGACCTCTCCTCCATGGCTGGGTACTAGGCAGGTAGGCTGTTCAGGTATCCAACAGGCCTGTGGGTATGACCTATGTTGACGAAGCCTGCCATAGTAGGCCACAAGAGTGGCAGTTTGCAACAGTCCAGCAAAGATTAGCTTGTGCAAGTCCAGGAGGCACACTCATCGCAGCCATCCCAACCCCAATTATCTAACTGGGACTGACTTAAGGAAGTGATCAATACCCTTAGCACATCACTGGAATTGAGTATCACACAGGCACAGATCGCAGCTCAGGAAGGCCAAAGTAGGATGCTAAAACTATGCCGAAATCTTTCACTTTCAATTCCCTACCTCCTCCAGAGCCCATGCTGCCTGCCCTCACCCCCTGGCACCTCCCAGTTGTGCAGCCGACTACTAGGATGCTAATTTGACCTTGGGCTTTGTGAAACAAGACCAATTCATAAATTACTCATGTTTATTTATAAAGTCATTCCTAAAAATATTTCAAGTAATAAATAGTTTTCAATATTTGTCACCAGCTGCCTGCCTGGTGTAAGGCTCCTGACATCAAGAAGGGCGTGAGGGTTCTGCAGAGCCTTTCCTGGCAGGCCTGGGCACCTGGAATCTCCTGGTCTTCGCTGAGGAATGAAGATGTCACTTGGGAGTCCTAGTCCACTACAGCACCCACTGGACTCCGAGATGTCTTCTATCTAGGACAAAGCACCCTACTTTCTTCTCCAGATCCACAGGCAGCCCTAGGCTCACAGCTGGCTGGAGATGTGCCTACATGCTGAGTCAGGGAGCAGCAGTCAGGCTTTCATTACTGCCATGAAGGAGACCTGCAGGGAGAGAAGGTAAGGTTGGGCCCTGTCCTCTGCTCCCCACTGTCCTTCTAAATACCTGAGAATAAGACTCAGTCTCAGCTCCCAAATCCCTGAAAGCTCTGCCTTGTGACTCTTTATGAGGGGGTCACAGCATTTTATATGTCAGATAGAGGCCACTTGCAGCAAGGCTACTGGGAGGAGGATGAGGGAATTAAGATCCCAGACCACCAAGGAGACATAGGTAGGTGAACCAAGCTAGGCAAGGGTACTGCATACAAACCTCCTGGAGTAGCTGGCCCAGCATCTCCTGGCTGTGAATGGACTGCCTGTGGAGAGAATGTCAGGTCAGCCCCTAAGGCTGCCCTACACACCTCCCACCAGACCCAGGCCCTATCCCAGGCTTAGACCAGCAAGGAGCCCCAAAGCCCATAGGAGACTCACATGGAAGAAAGCGCTACAGTGCTGAGGACCTGGAGTCCTACCTGTCTATTCTGGTTGCTATGGTCACTGTGAAGGTACCCTCTGTATCTGGCAGGTAGGTGGAGGGCACAACCCTGTAGGTCCCCACTGACAGGAGGCAGAGGCGGCTCACTTCCTGGGCATAGCGATGTGGTACACAGCTTAGCAACGGCTCCTGAAGCAGCAGGGAACATGCACTCTGGTTCTCACCATCCGCGGGAACCTGGGGCAACAGTGCAATCAGCATGAAGGCCTACACAGGATGGCATGATGTGCTCTCCCTCTGAATGGTACCAGCTGAGGGCCTAGCACCCAGGGTCAGCTGGAGTAGCTGAAGCTCTCAGTCCTCGAGCTGTTTATTAAACCCCTTTGCCAGGACAAAAGCCATGGAGCCATGCCACATCTGCCAGAGGCCCCGTCAGAGTTCCAGGTGGCCTGACTCAGGACTCCAAGAGTTCAGCTTGTTGTGATGTACTGACACCCTCAACAGAACCTTCTTAATGCAAAGTT